GCTAATAAGCTCCAAGATGCCTATATAATGGCCTATTTCAAAGTCTATACTTGCTCACACACTTGCTCTAGGATCATCATCCTATAGACTAAGTTTCGTCTGTTACCCACATCAAGGTAGTCATGGCAAGACCAAAGTACACCAAGGCCGGACTATGACATCCTTTTTTATTTACTATGTCGATGCCTTTATCGACGTTAACACCACACCCAAGTTCTCATGTTGCATAGATTTGACATTTTTTTATATGTCTCTCTTATGTACCCTCTTCAAGGATTCGCCGTGATCTCGTCAAATGAAGCATTGCCTATAGTTCATTCCATTATTGTTGTCAAGAGGGTCTCATCCAAGCTCCTTTCACTTCTCTACACTTTTTGTGCTATTTTTCCCTTGGAGCTCTAAATTTAAACTGCGGCTTCACTTTATGCCATTGCACTAGTTCACTAAAGGTATCAAAGTTACAACCTCGAGGTATCTTTGTTGAACATGATCCTTAGCAAAATGAATGACCTTTTCTTGCTTTATCGTATAATGTTGCACCTTGCTGAATATTGCCCATCATAGTAATCGTACGCCTGTGGCACCAATTATTTGATGCACCCTCTAGACATGGTGTTTAAGTCAACCGCATTCATGTTGCATCACCCTTAGTTGCCTCTAACATAGAAGCATTCAAACACTTTGGTCATCTCTCAACTTAGGCCATTTCAACCACTCCAAGGTTTCCTCTCTAGGGGTGACCTTTTAGCTAATTGCTACTCATAGCAGCATAATCTCATTTATCTCGAACTTAATCCTTGCTCAAATACCTCATAGACTCCATTGCTTTGGCTTAGTTTGACATGCAATCACTTTTACTCAAGATCGACTCTACATACAACCATGTCTCAACGATAGTTTCACTTACTCAAGCTCGCATCTGCTTTTAATCTTTATGCATTTCACTTTGTAAAAATTCAAATAAAGGCATTACATAAGCCCATTCGATGCTTAAAGATTTGTTGATCCACTATAAGTACAAGGTCCTCTGACCTACTCAAACCCAAGGTTCACCAACCCATAGGACTTAAGGCCTTTATAATGGCCAACTTTTACTTAAAATTTCCACATTTAAGCTTAATTTCAACCAACATCTCTCTGCCTTGCTCAACTTTTCTAATTCATTGACCATATTTGACTTGTAATGCCATAACCATTGACTTACTCAACTTATATGGCCTTTTCTTGGCCAAGCCAAATATAGTCCAACGACTAACATAAGTTCAAATGGTCCAACGGCCAACATAAGCTTAAATGGTCCACTGACCAATATACACTTAGATGGCTTTCTCCATCTACCCATTTGCTTAGTTTTTTTACCATCTCAAACTCATTTACCTCCGTAGAATTGCTCCTTGCTTGAAACCCAGATACTCGTCTAGGGTACCTACATCATATAATAAAGGCACATGTTAGTAACATCCTCTTAATAAGCACAACTCATGTTTTTAAGAACAAGACTCGTTTTGGCCCTCGTGGGCTAACTTAATGCAATTATATGGTGTGCACCATTTTACAATTATAACTCGTACCCAACCACAATCTAAAAAGCGTTGAATGCCCGTACAAGCTAACATTGTCTACTAGTTAAGGCTAAACTTTTGTGCCCTTCTGTTTGGAAACTAAAAGCTTACTCAAAGGCTTTGCACCTAGGCCAATTTTCCCATAGCTTGCATCAATGACTCATTCTCAAGTCCTTATAGCCACAGTACTGCATTTTTACCTTGATAGCTCTTTACGAGCTAGCACAAACTTGATTTTTCTCATTTATGAATTTACTTAAAATTTCATGCTTGTGCAAAGGATGACACTAGCTCCGTTTTGATACCAAATGCCATGGTCTGTACCAACTTGTGAAGTATTATCCAATTTGACCCCACTGGATCTCACAATTTGTTTCATAAAAGACATCTCATAAGTTGAAAGTAGTATAAACACTTATATCCCAAGACCAATTATAATATGCAGCCAATAGGGGATTCATGGCTTCTCTATTGGACCATGACATCTTTTTTTACTCCAACGAGGGTCTATCATCCTCAAGGCGCATTACTAGTACCCCCAGAGTTGGTTTTAATATCACATGTTATGGATTGGGTGTTCCTTATGCTAAAGCCATGCAATTGTACAGCACCAAAACTACATATAGTCGAGGTAAGCCTTTTGTAAGCCCATTTCCTTCTGGACAACTATAGTTCAACGGTATTCCATGTGATAGCCTTACTTGACTTGGCCCATAGGGTCATTTGCAACATTCCCAAACTTGTCGAGGGAGGAACTTAACTTCCATCACATCACTAACCTACAATCTCTATGTGGCCTCGAGCACTAATCTAGTGCCCTCAAGCATGAAAATCTTAAGTACTAACTACAAGAACTCACTTAAACGCATGCAACCTTGAGTCCTATTAGGCGAACATTTTTTCACATGATGAGAACCCAACACCATGTTCGCACATGTATTTCATAGCTCTAGTGCTTAGAACCCTAAGGCATGGCACATATGCTAGTTTACAATAAGTTTGGAGCAATACTAGACTCATCTTATTATTCATGAAGCTTGCACCTTGTGGCCTCACCCCTTTAACCACACTTTAGTTGCCACATGCATGATGGACGCTCAACATCATGCCTGCATTAATTAGATACTCCTATGTGCTGCCTCAGCTACAACCCACTTCTACGCATGTTACCAAGTAACCATAAGGGTCTAGTAGCTTACTTGCTTACTAGTCCACTCATCTCTTAGGCTTATTGGTGCCTCTCCTACATAAGCACTCCCGATGATTCTTGGTTACACATAATTTGACTTAAGGAAGGGAAACCAAAGGGCATATCAAATGTTATGACTTAACCCTATGGCCTAAAGCAAAGCATGATATGATCCAAATTGCCCCTAAGTTTACCATGTCTTGAGGAGACACCATTTCATACTCATGATCTGACGATACTTACCTACTTAGGCACATGTGGAGCCTAGGAATTGCTCACATTAAACTAGCAAGCCCCCCGCCAATTGGTTAGCTACAGAGGTAGTGAAGAGCCGATACCAAATATCCTTTTTATATAAAGTATATGAGCTTTTAGAGTTATGCTACCAAAAATCATAAAAAGGCTTGAAATAGGAACACTTTTCCCCCAAGCCCTTCCAAACTCAACTCCAGCAAACTCAAAACACCATGATCTTCCTTTTGACTCCAATGATGTTAGAATATACATCCATGCTCCACCAACCCACTCAAAGTTGATTGCATACGGCTTCATCGACTAGCATCCGACCTGATTAATAGGCTCCAAAGTGCCCACACTATATGCTCCAAGGCCCATGCTTGCCCGCACTTGCTTTGGGATCACCATTCCATGGACTACGTGTCATCTGCTGCCTGCGTCGGGGTACTCTTGGCAAGACCAAGGCAAGCCAAAGCTGACCATGACACATACGTTTTGAATAGGCTAGCTTTTATTAAGAATGTTGAGTTTGCCATGATCGATGGAAATTAACTAATAGACATTTTGTATAAAAGGTGTGTGGGCCAGGCCTTCGTAAGATCAATCATCCAATTTATTGAGAACATTATCATGATTGGATTAAAAGAATTCAACACCTCACAAAGAGTTTTAAGTTCCTGATTTTACTTTATTTTTTGCTGAGGCTTTCCAATCAACCATAGAGCATATTGGCATATTCACTGTCCAAAGTGGAGAGGTCTTAACCAAATTGTATTTTTCTTTAAGATTGCAAACATTTGCATTTTTAGATAATAAGTGAGGGAATGTTGTATGTATTACCAAAGGAATTGTTTTCTTTAAGTGTTTAAATGAAAACAAAAAGGTTCTTAAATCACGTAATATGTATATGTGTTGAAAACATGATGTTTGGAAATTAAAAATAGCTTTGAAGTGAAATTTGACTAAAGCAGTACTATCAACTGCCAGCAAGAGCAACGATTTCCCTTCCAAATACTTATGAACAAAATTGGTCAGTGACCTTGAGTGATTTTTTTGGCAAAAGTTAGGCATGAACAATCGACTGCTTTTTCAGAGCAATCAACTGTTGCATGGCAAATTTGTATAATCAATTGCCTGTTTTGAGCTGTCAAACTATCTATTTTGAGAACTCAAAAATCATAACGTTAGACATGATCTTTCAATTAAAGGTCTTGTTCCTTTATCCAAAAGATATTTATTCGTGGAATGGTGTTTCAAACATCTTTTGAGATTTATAAATACTTTCATTAAGATTCATTTTAACACATCTTTTCACTCAAAAAATAATCAGATTTTTATCTTTCACTCTCATTTTTCTAATTTTGGTTTAAGTGTATTAAAAAAAAAAGAGCTTGAAGTGCAATCTTGTTCTTTTTTGATAGATATTATATCTTGAAAATTATGTTTCTAAGAATCCATTTGCACTATAATTAAAAAATTATTATTCTTAAGATAACTTTCTACACGTATCTTATTTAAGTTTCTTCTTCAACTATATTGAATTAGTGAGCGATTGGATAGAACTACACATCGAGTGAAACGCAATTAAGCTTTAATCACCACCAACTGAATTTAAATACAAATTTTAATGAGATTTATTTAATATAAATTTTTTATTAAATTTTCTTATTTTCAGCAACAATAACTATTTTTTTTAATTACAGTTACAATAACTTTTATTATTATTTTTAATTTCATTAAAATTAATCTCACTATTCATCTAAATAAACCTTTAATTTTTATTCAATATAAAGTTCAACGATGAAGACTTTTTATAGATATCCGTATATTTTCTGAAAATTGGTTGGTATTGATACCCGTGTAATCTTGACCATGCACGCATACCTTTGAAATTTAAAAATTTAAGAACAAAGTTGGTTTGTTAATATGATTTGTAACATTTAATAAAGAAATTATATAATTTTTTTTAATATAAAATAAACCAAGGCTAAAGGTAAATTATAGAAAGAAAATTTGCAAGTACTAAGAATTGAATCCCAATTTTATTGACATTCAAATCTTAAAGGAAGTGAATGAACCAAAGCATTAGGTTCAAGAAAATATATTAGAATTACTCAGTTTGCAATAGTAACTTTTATTTAATTAAGCTTACTACTAACGATCTAAATTTAAGGATAATTGCAAATTAAAGTTCAGACTTCCATACATGGCATTGAACATTTGATTTTTCCGGAACTTGGATGAAAACGTTGGCCTAGGAATGTGGGGTATATAACAATATAGCTCAACCCAACCTTTAATTTTTCGAAGCATTCCTTTGTTGGTTCTCTCTCGCTATCACTTCGCTGTAAAAATAGACAAGGAAACGAGAAGAGGTAATGTTAGCTATCGTGTTACGAAGTATTCATGACAATGTACATGCAAAGTAAATGCGATCAAGCTTAAATATATTGTACTAATGAATTGCGAAGAGAAGTACCGGAGAGCACAAGTGAGTTGGGCTGCCTTGTCGAACTCTTGATTCTCTCTTGCTTTCAAAATTTGAAACATCAAAGCAAGGCGTATTTGGGTACTCATACTCTGTTGAATTATGAGGTTGGTCTCCTTTCGAAGATGCTCACATTCCAATTCAATGGCTTCAAATTTTTCTCTTACTTGTCTTTGCCCCTCTTTGATCTTTTTTTGTTCCTCGCTTATTTCTTCCATATCACATCTTAGCCTTCTCATGCGCCTATTTAGTTTTTTCATCCTTTTTTTTTTCTACAATTACAAAAGTTCATCATTTTTACATAACAAGAAGGTGAAAATCAAATAATAAATTGTAATTTCTAACATGGTCTCTCACATCCGAATTCAATGGTTTTGGGTATTTAAGGTCGGACTTGGACTCACCTTTTGAACTGAACTTTTGAGATTTAGTTTGCATTGTCGTTGTGATTGAAAATCGTAAATAAAAAAAAGTTATGCAATATCTTTTACAATTAAGAAGAAACCAATAAAAAATTGGACATAATTTTAAAACTAACAATAAATTTACTTATGATCAACACTTTTTGATAAGAGTGTTAAAGTTTATATTGAGTTCTTATAAATGATCAAGTTTGTAATTCCAATAATTTTAAAATATTTAAAAATTAAAATTTGTAAATTGTTGAGTTTAAACAAGTATATAATCTAATGGTAAAAAAAATTAACTTGCAATGTGAGTGATGACAAACACTAACAAGTTAAATATGATAAAATTAAAGATAATACAAGATAAAAGTATAAACATAAATAACTTATTGAATCATACCATATAGCCTTTCCCGCAAGTTCTAAGGCGGAGTGATTTTGGAAATGGAAGAGGACAATACTTGCTCCCACTCGAAAGCATTGTTTTCATTTCCTGCGTGTTCCAGTTTTCCTCCCAATTACTTTAAGTATTGTGATATGTCGTGCGATATCGCAAGGCTTCCATCGAGTGTCGAACGATTCTTTGGTACTTCCGCGAGTCAACGCACAGCATCGCACGATTGTCCACATTACCTCCCGTGGTTTTTGACTGGTCAATTCCAGTTAAAATAGGCAATAAATAACTCCCATATTGGTTGACTGGAACAATTCCGCGAATAAAAGATGACATTATGTCAATTTTATGATCCGATTAATAATACTCTTTGGCTGCAGATATTTATATGCAATAATAATTTTATCGAAATAATATATTTATAATTAACGACATTCATAAAAAAATACGCTGGCATTAATAAGTTATTTTTAAATATATTTTATATTTTATTTGATAACTTTAAAGAAAAAATTATTCAATAAAAAATATTAATATATTTTTGTGTTGTTTGTGAGATAAAGATTAATAAATAAATTAGGGTATTTGTCGGATAAAGATCCGTACTCGGATGAGCATTTGATGCAATCACATCATTCTTTTGTTTTTCAAACAACTACTCATTGTGCTGTGGCACCAAGAACAAGAAATATCTAATCATTCTCCGTCGGAGCTCCGACTGCGAACAAAATACAGCCTACGGCACCAATCATTATTAAACTCTACGAACCGAAGATTACCGGAGCTCCGAGTGCAAACAAATGCAGCCTATGGCAAATCATGACTCATCATGAGACGACGATCAAATATTGAATAAATAATACACGTGATATCGTACCTGCTGGTTACGTATCTTCTCTTGTTTTACTATGAACTCTTCCAACTCCCTCGATTACGCATCTTCGCATCCTCTTCTGCTTTATTAGCCCTTTTTCTTTTCCTGGAAACCAAAAGAAAGAAAAGGCTTTTCATAAAGAGATGGAATATTAGGAACAAGAAAACCAAGAAAGAGAACAACATGATGAAAAGTGATAAAAAAAATAAAAAGGAGATCTAAGTGAGCAAACTTAACAATCTGGCAAACTTTTTAAGCAAGGCAAAGGTTGCTTAACTCTTAAGGCGTACCTCATTAGTTTAATTTATTATTACAGGGTTCGAACTTTGGACAGAAGCTAGTAAACTTATTTAAGTTTAGAGTCATACATTCAATCCGGTCTACGAAATTAAATTATTTTAAATTATTTTTTATTTAATTTTAATTTTTAAATATATTAAAAATATTTAAATATTAATGTTTTATTATTTTTAAATATTTTTTTTAAAATTTCGAGACTTTAAACTTCTACTTGACGGGTTGGGTCTGGATAACAATTTTAGAAAACCCATCGGGTCTGCCTCAAACGTGGATAGATTTAGTTGCTATTCTATGTTGCTTTTTATTTTCTTAAATTTTTTTAATTTAAGGAAAGAGAAATTCAAACCATATATTTTATGCAAGATTCGAACGTTGGGAAGAAAGAGATTGTGAAAGAGTGAAAACGAGGGGTTGGATGACACTGTGAATAGATTGACAGAGTGATAAGGAGGAGCAGAAGTGATAGAGTTTGAGGTTAGGATTAGGGTCAAGGTCGAGCAGAAAAAATGAGAGAGAGAGAGAGAGAAAATGAGGAAGATGAGTTAGGGATTTTAGATTTAAAGACGTGATGGATTGTCGATAAAAATTTTCTTCAATAATCTTATTTTTTAAAATTTAGTTTTAATTTTTTATTAAAAATTTATTATTGACAATTTTTCATTGATAAATTATTAACCGATGGATTATCAATGGATAATTTTGATCGTAAAGCTCGCACCAATTTTTTATAATATTTCCTTCAAATTTTTACTTATGAAAATATCGAAGAAAAATATTCAATCAATAAATTTTATTAATGATTAGTTTGTAATCCGTCACTAATTTTTAAGTTAATTTTTTATTTTATTTTATTAAAAATAAGTCAATAACTATCAATCAAAAAATTTTGTCAATAAAATTCTGTCGATATTGAAAAAATTTTTGATAATGTGACTAACACTTTCAAAAAACATATGAAAGCTATGGCTGAGTACTATGGTAGAAGTATTAATGTCATCGGAAGTGAAGTGGCTGTTACTAGGCCATTGCTGTAGACTCTACCGATTAGAATGCCAAGAATCAGCTCAGGGGGCAACAATAGCCTCAACCAGCTGATAAAACAAACAAAGGTGAATGATTACTAACATTTGGCCCAAAGCGACAAGAGCACTAATTGTCTCCAAAAGTTAGAGAGGATTAAGTTAGATGACATGCATAAGTTATGAATAGGCTAGCTTTTGGTAAGAATGTTGAGCATACCATGATCGATCGAATTAACTAACTGACATTTTGTACAAGAAATGTGTGGGCTAGGCCTTCATAGGATCGATCATCCAATTTATTAAGAACATTATCATGATTGGATTAACAGAGTTCAACACATTGCAAGCAGTTTTACGTTCCTGATGTTACTTTATTTTCTGCTGAGGCTTTCCAATCAACCATAGAGCATATTGGCATATTCATTGTCCAAAGTGGAGAGGTCTCAACCAAATTGTATTTTTCTTTAGGATTGCGTACATTTGCATTCTTCGATAATAATTGAGGGAATGTTGTATATATTACCAAATAAATTGTTTTCTTAAGTGCTCAAATGAAAACAAAAAAAAAAAATAATTAAATCATGTAATATGCATATGTGTTGAAAATATGATGTCTGTAAGCTAAAAATAGCTTTGAAGTGAAATTCGACTAAAGTAGCCCTATTAGCTACCAGCAAGAGTAGTGATTGGCCTTCCAACTACTCATGAACAAAATTGGTCACTGACTTTCTGGTGAGTTTTTAGCAAAAGTTGGGCATGAGTAGTCGATTGTTTTTTTGGATCAACCAACTGTTGTATGAAATTTTGCACAAACGACTGCCTTCTTTGACAAATCAACTATCTATTTTAGGAATTCAAATATCATAACGTTGAACATGCTCTTTCACTTAAAGGTTATGTTCCCTTATCCAAAAGATACTTATTCGTGGAAAGGTGTTTCAGACATATTTTGATGTTTATAAATATTTCTATTAACATTCATTTTAACACATATTTTCACTCAAAAAATCAGATTTTTATCTTTCACTCTTATTTTTCTGATTTTGGTTTAAGTGTACTCAAAATGAGCTTGAAGTGCAATCTTGTTCTTTTTCGATAGATATGTAGCGATGGAGGGGCTCAGAACCTGATCGCCGAACTTGGGAATGAGGATAAAAACAAGGGTTAAAAAAACATTTTCAATAAAAACTAAAAAATGAGTAATTGTTACTAATCTTTTTTAGGGTATAATTGACTACAAAAAAAATTATCTTTTTAATAAAACATTTAAAACGGATTTAAAGTTTTACAAAAAAACAATTTGCGGTCTACAAAAACAAAGTTTGAGTCTAGGAGTTGATTATGTATGAGAAAAGATTGGTTCCCCTATAGCGCCCATTAAAGACGGTACCAATTAATTACATATTATCCTTAGATTTTGGTAAAAATGGTCATATTCTTAATGTTTAGAAATTAATTTCTTTGTTTATTCCAAAAATCAAATCTTTTCTTTTTCTTTTTTCTTTTGAAGGCAAATCATTTTTATTTTATTAAGTAAAATCAATTATTTTTGGATCAAGATGAAAATATCCTAAGCATCTACATACTTTTTTCACTCTCTTATATTTAGGTAGAGTTTAAAAAATATCTTTAACTTAGTAATTTTTAAATTGACCCATAAAATCGAGATAATACCTCACATAAATAATAATCGTTGAGAGTCCCCCTATATTTAGGCTAGATTCTCCAAGTTTTATTAAAACACTTTCTTTTGAAAAACCTTATTTATAAAACCAATGCATGTATGCATGAACATAATAATAATATGAATGCATGATGATTAAACATGAATGACAAGGTACGAATGCATGGCAATTTAAGAATGCGTCTAATCTTAAAATAAGATGGAATGCAAATGCATGAATCAGGTTAAAGGTTGGTTTTAGGGGGTTTTAGGGTTGGTTTAGGGTTTAGGGTTAGTTTAGGGTTTAGGTTAGGGTTTAGCATTTTGGTTTTGGGTTTAATGTTTGGTTTAAGGTTTAGGATTTATAGTTTAGGGTTTAGGGTTTGGGTTTGGATTTGGTTTAGGGTTTAAGGTTTTGTTTAGAGTTTAGGGCTTGAGAATTATGGTTTCACTTGTTTTGGTTTAGGGTTTTGGAATGCATATAACAAAATTAATAAAATGTCATGGACAAAAATGCAAACTTTAATGCACGTAACTAAATTACTAAAATTTCATTGATAAAAAAACAAATTTTGAAGCATGGGAGTAATATGGTAAAAGTTACAAAAATACCATTAATGAAAATGCAAACTTTAATGCATGAACCATGTATGAAAATAAACTTATTACAAACTAAGGCATATTCACAAATATATTACAAACTTAACATGTATATAACATTATCGTAAAAATGAATAAAAAAAACTAAGGGTTTTAAAATTTTAAAGACATGTGCCACCGTTTTTTTTTTTTTTTTGAAATTCATATAAACAAATTAAAATCACCAAAAAGTCTACTAATCTAGCTTTTTTGTTCATTGAAAATTTGATCAAACACATAAAAAACTTGAAAAATAATGCAAAAACACAAACAACATGTGAGAAATAAGCAACATTTTGCCATTACTAAAGGGAAGAAGGTTCAGCCAAGCATGAGAGAGCTTGGCCGAATGCTTTTATGGTTACTACAATCATTCTATCACTTTATTTAATTGAACATGCATCAAAACTTCATGATACTATAATATAAAGGTATTTTCATCATGAAAGGAATTTTATCAAACACGTAGTAAACTAACTAGTAAGGAAACCATAAAAACATACTAATTTAGCCAAACACTATAAACAACCACTAAACTAATCAACATTCATACAAGTAACAAGTAGAATAACAACCCAAACATCCATACACATGATCTAAAGCAAGGAAAACACATCATAAAAATAAAAAAGAGGTTCCGCCATGAGGGAGAGGAGCTTGGCCGGACCTTCCAATGAATGTTTCAATAGTGGATTTTGATTTCTTTAATCTTTTTTGTATCAAACCAAACTATGGACTAGTTGGTTAAATTTTTGGATCAAATTTAAAGTTATAGATACAACTAACTATAAATTTTCTCAAGAAAAAGAGAAAAATTAAATAATGAATAACATGAAAA